TTACCCTCACCCTGTGCCTATCCAAACTGCTGGCATCCGGCCACCCCTGGGACTCCCTGTCTCCCCCAGGACTTCAGCATCCAAGTCATAATCCTTGGGGTCTCAGCATCTGGACTGCCCCTTCCAGGCCATCTCGTCTCCTCGCCTCCTCTCACTTGATCTTTGCCATCTTGCTGCCTGGCTTCCCTGAATTCCTCGGCCTGCCCAAACCTCAGGCCATCTCACGAGCCCCATGGGTCCCCCCCACGGCATTGCCCTTCCAAGCTAGCAGGCCGTGGGGCGTCTCACTGAACTCGCACTCAGGCAGCCAGACAGCCTGCCTGCGAGTCCAAGTGCCCCGAGCCTCCCTGGCCTTGCAAGCGGGTGTGATGAGGCAGCGAGCCGTCTCCGCTCTCCGGGGACGGTCGAGAGGCTTCTGGTGGACAGTGCACGGACAGCGCTCAGCGCAGGGACGGACGGACGCCTGGCCCAGCACGAACATGCAGCAGGGGTGGTGGCGACCTTCCCGGGGCGGCCCCCGTCTCCGCTAGCTCACGCTGCACCTGCGCCCCGACCCGAGTCCCCGCACCCGGTCCCACCGCCCATCCCCAACTCCTTCCTTCCCCAACTCCTCCCATCAGGGCTGGCGGAAGCCCCAGGATGTGATGCAGTAATCCCACTGCAGACCCCGGCCTCTCTCTGGGTATCTCAGCCGTCCTTACTGAGGCTCCACAGCAGCTGCGACCCCCTTTACCGGGCCTGGACGACCACCACCCCGGCTCTTCACCGCCCCGATCTGCAGCCAACAGGCTCGCGGGAGGCTGAGCACCTGCGTGTGCCGAGTGCGTCCGCTGTCCTCCTGACCTCGGTGTGATCGTCCTGGGCCCACATCGATTCCGTTCCATCCTCCCCATGAGGGAGTTCCCGCTCTGGCTCACGGTCCCCCGTACCTGGGCTCCAGCACCTTTGCCACCAGCCCTCAGGACTCCCCCTGTCCTCAGTGCTCTGCGGCATCCCTGCCAGCTTGGTCAAGGGAGTCTCTTGTTGGCTCGTGCTGATTCTCCTTCAAACCCACGCTCCCCGAGGGCTAGGGTCTTAGCAGGCTGCTCCACTCTGACTCCTGGGAATTCTGGCTCATCTCTCCACTTCCCAGAAACCCCTGCTCTCAGGTCCCCGAGGGTGATAGAATCTGTCCCCTCCTCATGTAGCTCCTGGTCCTCCCCAGTCTCTGGGTCCTATCAGCAGAACTCTCAGGAACCCATGCCCGTGCAGCCCCTGGCTTGCTTGCTGCGTCTCTCCCCTTGGCCTGGCACCCTGGGTTCCCGTCTTCAGTGTGTCTCCAAGGGCCCACACTCTCTGCCTCCCGAGCCCCACCATCATGTCCATCCCCACCCCCGCAGATGGGTGCAGGCTGCCCCCTCTGGCCCCAACACCAATCCACGCCTTGGCCTTAGAAGAAATCCTGTTCCTATCCTCCCTTCCCCCCGACCAGCCTGAGCAGCCGCTGTCTCTGGATAGTCTGGGTTCGGACATTTCCCAGGAACAGAAACTTATACTACGTGGACTTTTGTGCCTGGCATCTTTCACTGAGCATAATGTGTTCAAGGTTTGTCTGTCTTGTGCCTGAGGTTAGAGCTTCACTCCTTTTTAGGGTCACCTAATACATCCCTGGACAGATACACTACACTTAGTCGATCCATCCTTCAGCTGATGGACATCTAGATTTCCTGCATCTTTGGGCCGCTGTGCGTGCCGTTGCTACAAAGGACTGCATGTAAGTTTTTGTGTCGACACGTGTTTTCATTGCTCTCCGTGGCTGCCCCCCATTTTACACTCCCCATAGCACCATGTGGGGGTTCTGATTTCTCCGCATCTCTGCCAACACTTGTTATTATCTGACTTTCTGATTTTAGCCATCGTAGTGGGTGGGAAGTGACTGTGATTGGCATTTCTCTCGTGACTGAGGATACTGAGCATCTTTTCACGTGCTTATGGGCTACCTGTAGATCCCCTTGGACAAACGTTTGCTGACAACTTCTGCCACCGGGCACTTGGTTTCAGTCTTTCCATCTGTAAAATGGGACCACCGTCATCAAAGGGAAACTCTTACCGAAAGGTGGGGTCTAGAAATGTGTGACTCTGGATGAGAACAGGTACAGCTGAGAGCTGCAGCCTCACAAGCTGCAGTGACAGGGGACAGACACCTGGCTGGAGGCCCCAGGCATGCACAAATCCCTCCCACATTTCTCCCCGTCTCCTGCAAGGCCGTGACCGTTCCCGCTAATCTGCAGCCAGAAAAGCATTCTTATAGCCAGGTTTATTCAGAAAAGCGACTTACAGAACAAACAGTGAGTGAAACAGGGTGAGCAGGGAAGGAGGTTCTTGGCTTTTCAGCACGTGGTTGGTGCTCTGGGTTGAATTACATTTCCCCAAATGACACATCAGGTCCTAATCCCTGCTCTCTGTGAACGTGGCCTTATTTGGAAATGGGTCTTTGTAGATCTAATTCCTTAACGTGAGGTCACAGGGGATTAGCGTGAGCACTAGTCCAATGAGGGTGTCCTTAGATGAAGAAGGGGAGGTGGACACAGATGCATGCAAAGACAGTTGTTGGATTTATCTTGCAGCCATCAGTAAACACCAAGGAATGCCAGAAGCCATCAGAAGAAAGTTGTGAGCCTCATCCAGAGCCTTCCTAGGAAGCAGGACCCTGCTGATACTTTGATTGCAAGCCTCCAGACTCCAGAACCATGAAAGGATACATTTCCACTGGTGTGAGCTGGCCGCTTTGGGGTCCTTTATTATGGCAACAGTGGGGGAACAATGCAGGTGACCATCATATAAATAATAAAGCTCTTGGGGCAATTCTTTTCCATGTTGGTTGTGTGTTTGGCATTTCTGGCCACCAGCAGTTATTTATGGAAACTGACTCTCCACCCAGTGATACTAAATATGACAGACCCTCGTTTAGGTCTCAGCTGAGTACCACCAATGTACTTGCACAAACAGCAGCCCCAGAGAGGACACCAGGGACGAGGAATGGCCAGGTTTGTTGGGAGATGCTGACTCTGGCTTGTCACCCTCCCCTTTGCTCCCCCCCCCACCCCGGTGACACCCAGGTCCTCAGTCGACCAGGGAGTCCCTGTGGGGGAAACCTTAAGGGACCCTCCCAGTCCGAGCCTACAATCTGGCTGGATCTTGAGGTCGGGCAGTTGTACTCACCTTCTCCTCCCAGCCCTAGGGTTCCTGGACAGCTTTGGATAAAAGCAAATGTGCTTTCCATCAAAAGCTGCTTGCAGCCACTCCTGGGCTTACTACTAATTCCTTCTTAAGTCTGTCCCAAAGCGCCTACCTAGCATAGGGCCAGCTGCTGGGCACAAGTAATATGTTTTAATCAGCCGCATTAAGCTCTTCCATTTTAAGACATTTTAAAGTAGATGATGAGACTCAAAGTGTCAGGTATCCAGCAGCTCGACTTTGTGGCTGGTCAACAATTTGTGAAAATATCCATCACACAGGCATGTTTGTGACTCTACTGAAACCATCTGGGAACCTTTGTAAAATGTAAAAGAAAAATATCTGAAATATAAGAAAACACACACCACGAGAAGAAATGCAAGTTTTATCACAATCATTATTATTCTCGAGGTTCACAACAGATGAACTCATTCAGGAAAATATTTTGCACATAAGGATTTAGAGCCCAGGGACACATGTCAGAAGTAGCGAAAGGATGTGAACCATGTACCTTGGGAAACACCGCAGAGCTCCGGGTTGCAAAACCAGAAAGTAGCAAGGATGCATCTCAATTTCTGAATTTCGTAGGGGAGGGTAGGGTGGTCCGCACAGGCCTGACCTAGCTCCAGGAGGTAGCTGGGGGCGGCTGCTGGCTTGCTGTGCTCCCAGGGCACGCTGTTCCCCGACCCCCAGTTCGCATCTCTGCAAGGCAGGTTATACCAACATCTCCCCATTTAAGCAATCCCGGGTGTGACCACAGGGTGCCTTGATGGATCGACCCTGCTCCCAGCGAATCAATGAGAAGGCAAACCAAACAGGGCCTTTAGCATGTGAAGCAGCGCTGTGCTGCTCCCTCGGGGAAGGGCCAGAGGTGGCTATGATAAGGTCTGCATCGTTTTTACCGGTGGGCAGACGCGGCTTTGATCAGGACGCGAGGCGGGCCGGCGGGACTCACGCTGCTGACCCGCAGCAGGTCGGGCTGTTGGCCAGTGGGACGTCGGAGCCCTGCCAGCTCCAGAAGCACCTGCTCTGGAAGACGGCTACGTCTGAGGACAGCCCTTTGGCTTTTCAGAAAAGTAAAAGCACTCTCCAGCCGTGAGCCGGGGGCAGTCTAGGGCAGCTCCGGGCAGGAAAGATGGGCCGAAAGCGTAGGACAATCGGACTTGCCCAGGTGGTCGCGGACCCGGGCAGATCTGCGCTTGCGCAGAAGGATTTCGGGGCAGCTGGGTGGACCGGGTTTTCCGAGCTGAAACGGAACACGGGGTTTCCACCTTTCCCGGTGGAGACCACGGACAGGTTCTCGTCTGGTCTTTCGCTGAGCAAATGCCCTTGCTTTAGTGTTCTAGAACTAGCCTTCTGTCTGTTCGGTGGTCACTTCTAGAACTCAGGAGCAGCTCTGGGCGGGATTCTGAACCCCGCGGCTCTGCCTGATGGCCCCGCTGGAGGCTGCGTCAGGAGGCAGTGCCAGACTCCGGACGCACACTGCGATCTCCTCCCGGAGATGCTTCTTCCGCGCAGACTGCCTAGATTCCAATTTTCCAGGAGGCGGCTCCTGAGACTCAAGAGCCTTTCAATGATGGGCGCCTCTCTTTCGCTTCCCGGGACCACCGGGTACACCCCCACCCCCGCCCCGTGCAGTGACCCCTGTCACGGGGAGGGGAATCCAGGGATGCTGGTGTCACTGCCACCAAAAACCTTCCCTGCCCTGCCTTCCTGCAACCCGCCCCCTAATTAATGTCCCGTTCTCCCCTAACTGTGAAGGCACAGTGTCCTCTTAATGAACAGCACGACGTGGGTGACGTTTCCTCTGGCCTTTATCTATCCCATCCTCCCAAAATGTGTGCCCTCTTGTTTTTGGGACCACACGTAGGGCCTTCGATGACTGCTGACAGAGACGTAAAGCTGAGCTCTGGAAACTTCCCTGACTTAGGTCTGGGCAAGTTCGGCTTCTGGCCCTTACAGGGAAACCACGTTCCTCAAAGGCCACCAATCAGGGCCTCTGTGGACACAAGGCTGGGGGGTCAGATCCTTTGTAGTTTCAGATACAGAAATTTAAGGCAAAGGCAGGGGCACTTGGCTTGGTCTTAGATTTCCCAGGGGAGCAGTATTTTTGAAGAAAATGCTGGTTTTCTCTGCTGAGGAAACACGAAAGATCGGGAAACTGAGGCACCGCTGCTGGAGGCGCTGGGTCCCGCTGCTCACTTGCGAGGCTGCTGGATGTGCTGGGTTCTCGGGGACGTGTGCTTGTCTATGGAGGCGTGGGGCTTCTGATGAGCCACCTGCGCGGCCGCCGGAGGGAAGTCCTTGTCGCCCTGTCAGGATACAGAAGGCACGCACTCACCCAGAGTGGACAGTGGGGCGGGGTGACAGTGAGGCCCCCAACGCCACGTCTACTGGCTTCCCTGCAGGGTGGCTGATGACAGGGGGACCTGCCGGCAGGCAGCAGGCGGTCTCCTGGCACTTCAGGGGTCTGGAAGCTCTCTGGGGAGCGGAAGGGGGCATCGAGGCCCGGGCACCACCCTGAGGGGGAGAAGGCTCACGGTCTCTGCCCCCTCGTCATGAGCTCAGGTCACCATGGGGCTCCCTCAGAACTAAGGTGGGCTTGGGTGGCCTTCCTCTGCTGGAGCTGACCTCATGACCCTTCCAACTGGGGCAAGACAGAGCCAACTCCAGTCTTCGATTCTAATTTGCTGTCACAGCCGAGTCAGGGCACCGGGGAAGGAGACACCCACGGCAGGGCGGAAAGCTGGGAAGTGACGCCAGAGCCAAGTCCCCCAGTCGCAAAGGCGGCGCTGGGATCTGTTGGGAGAAGTGCCTTCTAGTGCCACCATGCAAGTGTGGTGGTGCCCGGGCTGGGCTGCCGCGAGCTGGCGGGGCGTGCTGCGGCTGAGTCAAGCGGCCCTGGGCTGACTTTGGACTCGGGCTGCCATGTAGTTTTCTCTCACGTAGCAGGTGTGCTACCCATCTGTCCCCGGGGCCCTGGGGTGCTGGGGAGAGCTGTTCTGAGCAACCGCAGGGTCTAACTCATCACACACTGAGGGCGCGATTGTACTGAGAACCCCAGGGCTGTGGGCGGACGCACCGGGGGCCTCCCTCAAACGCACATTTGCTGATGGGTCGTTAAAAAAAATATGTTGTGGGGGGCACCTGGGTGGCTCAGTGGGTTAAGCCTCTGCCTTTGGCTCAGGTCATGATCTCAGGGTCCTGGGATCGAGCCCCACATCGGGCTCTCTGCTCAGCAGGGAGCCTGCTTCCCCCACTTCTCTCTCTCTGCCTGCCTCTCTGCCTACTTGTGATATCTATCAAATAAATAAATAAAATCTTAAAAAAAAAATATGTTGTGTGGGGTGCCTGGGTGGTGCAGTCGGCCAAGCATCTGAATCTTGGTTTTGGCAGGTCCTGATCTCAGGGTCGTGCGATTGAGCCCCACCTCGGGCTCCGCACTCAGCAGAGTTGGCTTGAGAGTCTCTCTCTGCCTGCCCTTCTCATTGTGCTCACGTGCGCTCTCTAAATACATAAATAAATAAATCTTGGGAAAAAAAAAGAGGTTGGGTCTCACCAGAAAAAGGGGCTCCTGAAAGGTAAAGGGCGTGACAAACACCCGTGAGTTTAGTCCAGGGGTTAGCGAGCATTTTCTGTGATGGGCCGGGTAGCAAATACGGCTCTGCGGGTCACTCTCTGCCGCTGCGGCAGGAAGGCAGCCACGGACGCACCCGCCCGAGCAGCGTGGCTGGGTGCGCTAAGACCTCACCTGTGGATACTGGGATGTGAATTTCATGTAATTTTCATGTGTCACAACCTATACCTCTTATTTTGAGTTTTCAACCATTTAAAGATGAAGAAACATGCTCAGCTCACAGGTCACCCAGAAACTGCGGGCTTGGGGGTGCCCGGAAGCTCCAGCTCCTGGGTGAACGCCATGCGGTCACCATTCCACACGGTGCTCGGCGACAGACGTGACACAGCACAGGGGCCCCCGGGTCCCCGACACAGGGGGGTTTAACAAGGGCAGGAGGAATCTGACCCCGTGCCAAGGGTTTGACAGAACAGCTCTTACCCGGGCGATGACACCAGAGATGAACACGGTCGGCTTGGGCGGGCTGCAAGACAAGAAGGGAAAAGGCGACGTCAGGGACCAGAAGTGCAAGGAGGTAGGCAGAGGGAGTGTGGGGGAGGCAGGTCTGGGGAAGTGTAAGACAGGGACGGAGGAGGACGGAGGAAGGGGAGCAAACCTCCTCTTCTGAATTATTTCTTCTCCCCTGGACCATCTGGGGTCCACCTCCTGCGGTGAGTTCAGGCAGGGGCCAGGGACTAGCAGGCACCGGGTGAGTCATGTGTTTTCTTTGTGTTTTTGGTGGGGGAAGGGGTGTCATCCTCAAACAGTGGCTGTTTGAGCAGTTTTTGTTTCACGAAATTATGGACAAGGATGCCTCCTGAAGCAGGGAAGACGTGTGGTCGCACTGGGCGGAACGTGGAGACTCCCACTGAGGAGGGATTCTCCTCCCTGCCCTTGCCGTGGCTTCCGGCAGCTTCTAACAGGGGGAAAGCCCTGGGTCGGGACAAAGCTCCTGGCCCTTAGGAGACCCAGGTATTAAAAATGTAGGGTCCTTGTGAAGCTACTGTCATTTCTTAACACCTGAAATCCTACTGAGCTACCCACATGTCAATATTCCCCGGGAGGTGGGAGAAAGGACCAAGGTAACACACGTCCCTTGCCGAAAAGCACAGAAGTGCAAACATGTTCAAATCAGCTGTCATCGTACCACATGGAAATAATCAGTTTATACATGGTTCTCTGTCCAGCCTGTCTCTGGATAGACGGACGCACTTGTTTTCACATCAAACTTTTCTCTTACAGTAGAGTCATACTGTTTTCTGCATTTAGGAGATGCTGAGCACACTTTCACGTTCGTGTACACACTCTTGTGTTAGCACACACTCTCCTCTGCGTGTTTTCAAATGGCTGCGTGTGCACCGTTTTATAAGAGCATCAGAACACTGATCCGGGAGGTATGCAGACGCACACCCCTGTGAAATGCCCCCACCAGAGCTAAGGGGACCTGGGAGCGACAGGTGAATAATACAAGGCCAGCCTGGCAGGGAGAGGGCTACGGGGGGTGGGGGGCAGCTCCAGGAGGCAGAAGGTTGTGGTCAAGGCCAGTCTTGCTGGGCAGATGGGGGGTGGGGAATCCATCCCCGCTGCTGCCCAGCCCCCTCCCACCTGCTCTGCTGCTGGGCATCAGGGAGGGAAACCACTTGTCTTAGCTTTGTTTTGCTCTGGGCAAACGTCCCAGGATTCACTAAGTTCACTGTTTATCTCCCCAACAGTTTCGCTAAAATACCCGAAATTCTCCCAAGTGATTTCTGTTACTCTGGGAGATTAAGAAACTTCAAGTCTTACTAAGCAGTAGAGAGATGTCCCTACATGAGTGGTTTTATTTTTGCTTTTGTCACGCGGTGAACTGGGTTGGATTTTTCTTCTTTGATTACAAATATGATTTGGCTACAAGATCAATAGCGCAACAGCCGGCCAGAGATGAGTAGGTTCAGCTCGAGGGTAAGTCCCCCACGTGGTAGATTTGGAAGCCTTTGCGATCCAGACACTTCCTGCTGCGAGGGCTCCCGACCACCCACAGGGTGGGCCCCCAGGGTGCTCACGGCCAAGGGTTTCGCATCCCAAGCTGCGGAACCGTGTTCCGGATTCTAACATTTCACGAATGTTTTAGAGAGGACTATGGAAATGGTACCCCAAGACTTTCTTGCATTTTGCATGTTCCTTTAAAAATCTGGGAAAAGCCTGAAGTAGGGAGGGCTCTGTTTTGTGGACTGATTACGTAGCCTCTCCTTACAGGCCATCGTTTTGTGCCCAGACGGCATGATTGCTTGGATCGTGTCCACTGTTTTTAGTTTTGTAACCTGAGTCAAGGCGTTCAAAGGCAGTAAAGACAGCCCCCCACACCCCCACCGCCCCCAGCAAGTACTTGATGAGAAAGTCACCCACAGAGAGTGAATCTAGTCAAAATAAATCAGTCGAGTGACTCCTTGCCCAAAGGGAACCCCAAAAGGTGTCCCAGGAAGCCTGAGACATTATATATGTAAAACACGCATGCTCGCTTCCCCTCCTGGTGTCTCTTATACACGTATGTACACCTTCATTGCTGAAAAGCAGACAAGCAAAAACTATGTTATAATCGCTATATGGCTGTGTGTAGGAAGCACACAAACGCACATTTTTCATGGAGAACTGGACTGTGGGAATACGGCGGCCCAACTGGCAGAGAGGGAGCGCACCTGGGAGAGGCAGCGTCCGGCTCTGGAGAAAGGAGGCGGCCGACAGCAGGCAGGGAGGAGCAGAGGCCAGCCTGTCGTGGGTCCCTGCGTCCTGAACCTCGTGGGCCCCCAGCGCCCTTCCTGCCGCTCCCCGGTGCACCTAGCCCCCGCCGGTCCCTGCCCCTGCCCCTGATTTCCAGGAATCTGGTTCTCAGGGGGCTCCTGGAAGCACCAGCTCCCCTCCGCGTGCAGGGAGGAAGGGTTTCCAGACCCCAGGAGCCCCATCGGGTCCCACGCTTCCGGCCCGTGGCCTCCACCTCCTCCTCACAGGTGACCCTTCAAAGCCTGGCTATTTCCATCCAGGTTAGGCCCTGGGCCTCTCCCACATTAAACATGAATGTGGGTTCCAGGCCTCGCTTTCAGAAGGTCTTGGGAAATGTGTGCAAATGGTCATGATTAGAGACCATTACTGACCCGGGTCCAGCCCCAGGTCACAGAATGCATGTGCAGGGGGACGGCCACTAGAATCCAACTCCCAGAGCCTCCCCCCGACATGAGCCTCTCAAGGACACCTCACCCCACGACTGCTGGGGCGGCCATGGAGACTCTGGGGACTGAAGGAGACGCTAAGAATGCTCCCTCCCGGCCCGGCTCATTCCCTGAGGGGTGTCCGGGGACTCTGGGTGCAGAACTTAAGGCTCCCCCCAGGGACAGGGCTGCAAGACGGCCCTCTCCTCACTGACCCCGTCTTCCTGAGGAACCGACACTTTGACACACAAGCCTTAAGCTTTCGGATTTTCACGGCTTGCTGGATCCTGCTCATAATGGAAAAGTGTGTCAGTGAAAAGCAAGTTGGGTTCAGAGTACGGACATATGCTCTGACACCCGCTGGGGCGGCGGGTGGCGGAAAGCTGGGTGCTGGGGCTCTAAACTAGATGTTTCATGGCCCGTGTATTCTGTCCAAAGGGGCTCCTTAGGTTTGAGATGGTGGTGGGGGAGGTTTCTCACAAATTCTCCTGGAATTCATGAACCACTTCTTGGTTAGCGGTGAGAAGAGGGACACATGGCAAAGCTCCTGGGGCAAATCCTGCAGATATATGCACAGGGCACGTGTATCCCACGGTCCCTCGGAAAAGGAATACAGATGTGGGAAATAATACAAATGATAGAAGTAAGTACTAAAATATCGTATTAGTATAAATATTAAAAAATAAATAAATACTAAATAGGGATTAAAAGTCCAAATAACCTCTTAGCAAATCTTTGTTTTTGATGTTGTATTAAAAAGTACATAGTGCTTTATCGGTGCCTACTCATACCACAAGTTCATGGATGGGCGCACAGCTGGACCCTTACTAAGATGCTGGGCCACTGGGGCATCGAGGGACCTGTGCAGGGATGGTGGTACAGTCCAGGGAGCCACCGAGGCCACACCAACCCCATTTCTTGGCCATGGCAGGCCCCATCCCTGCTACCAGGTATGGTGTTTGTGACTCATCCTTGGTCAAAGGGACACAAAGCAGCCCTTAGCGTACTGCAGAGGGCCGACTCTGGACCCAGGAGCAGGGGCAGTAAGTGGGCTTCAGGTCACAGCAGACTTCAGGACCCAACCAAAACAATGCATATGCTGTCCAGTTAAGCTAGGGGATGGAAGCAGCGGTAAAGATCTCAAGGACTTGACCCGCATCCCTGTTCTCCAGGGCCTCCATCTATAGGTGCAGGCAAAAAAACAAAACAAAACAAAAAAACTCCACAAAAACCAAAAATGGCACTGAAAGGAGTAAGGATAAGGTCCTGTAGATCCAACACGTTTTGGGGGGAGGTTCTTGCTTTAAGATTGCACTTTCTAATTAAAAAAAAAAAAATTCAGATCAAGTGGGATTTATTCCTGGGCTCCCGAGGGTTTAATATTCACAAATCAATCAACGTGATACACCACATTAATAAAGGCAAGGATAAGAACCACATGATCCTCCCAAGAGATGCAGAAAGAGCATTTGACAAATTATAGCACCCATTTTTGATAAAAACCCTCAACAACATAGGGATAGAGGGAACATATCTAAACATCATAAGGGTCATACGCAAAAGACTCATAATTGACAACATCCTCAATGGGGAAAAACTGAGAGCCTGTCCCCCAAGATCAGGAACAAGACAGGGATGTCCATGCTCACCAGTACTATTTAACGTAGTACTGGAAGTCCTAGCCTCATCAATGAGACAACAGAAAGAAATAAAAGGAATCCAGATCAGCAAGGAAGAAGTCAAACTTCCATTATTTCCAGATGACATGATACTCTACATAGAAAACCTGAAAGACTAAAATTGCTGTAACTAATACAGGAATTTAGCAAAGTTGCAAGATTTAAAATCAACGTACAGGAACCTGTTGCGTTTCTATACACCAATAATGGAGGAGCAGAAAAAGAAATCAAGAATCAATCCCACTTATAACTGTACCGAAACCAGTAAGATACCTAGTAGTAAACCTAACCAAAGAAGTAAAAGATCTGTACTCTGAAAACTATACAACATTTATGAAAGAAATTGGAGAGAACACAAAGAAATGGACTGGAAGAATAAACAGTGTTAAAATGTCTATACTACCCAAAGCAATCTACACATTTAGAGCAATCCCTATCAAAATACCATCAGCATTTTTCACAGAGCTAGAACAAACAATCCTAAAATTTGTATGGAACCACAAAAGACCCAATAGCCAAAGCATCCTGAAAAAGAAAAGCAGAGCTGGAGACATCACGACTCTGGATTTTAAGCTCTATGACAAAGCTGCAGTCACCAAGACAGTACGGTACTGTCTCAAAAC